GAAAGAGTGGAAAGAAGGAAAGAACCACTATAGAGAAAGAAGTTAGATGATAAAAAAAAAGAAAGAAAGAAAAAGAAAAACTTGAATGAACCATGTCACCAGAGATGTCCCTAGGGAGACAGAGACATTGAGAAAGAATAAAACTATATTTAGCTTCTATCAAACATATTATCCTGCTGGAAATCTCTCTTATGATTCTCTTATAGGTCTTTTTCATCGAGTCCATTTGTAATGATCCTGGTGTCATTGCTGAAAACATCAGGGTAAGGATCTCCAGTTGCCTTTCCCCCTTACTTTATCTTAGGCTTGGATCATGCTTAAAGAGACTTCTATGGGATTAAAGGAGGTATTTTTCCCTGAACTTCTCCTCCCTCTTCATATAGGAAGCATTCCCTGACCATCTTGTTCCACAATGATCCTACAAAATTAAATTAAGTCAATATACATTGAGCACTTAGTATGCATCCAGCACCACACTTGATCTGTTAATTTTTCACAGCAAACTTGCACGTTAGAGATCATTTTCATGTTGTATAGAGAAAACCGAGGTTCTAAAAGAAGAAAGGAGTTGTCAAAGACTTATACAACCAGAAGGAGATAGAAGTGGGACTATATCTCATGCTTAACTGTCTGCTCTGAAAGCCTGTGTTCTTAATTCTGCCCCACAATTTATACCAGAATTATCACTGCTCTTAGATTCTAGACATGTGGTCTAGAACTAGATCATTTATCACACTTTTTTTTCCTACTTCATGAAATTAATGGAGTTCAGAGCCTCCTTCAAATACTTGAAAACTCTTCTCAATGTTTATCTAGATTTTCTATTCATACCTGCAATGACAAGAAGTTCATTACAAATGAAGCCAAATCAAGAAGAAATCTCTCTCTGTAATTTCTGAATATTAGTCCAATTTTTACCTTTTAGGGCATAGACCATGTCTAATTCCTTTCTTCCTTCTTTACCTACACATTCATCATCCACTTATTGATTTAGCAAAAATCGACTGCACATATGGGATGGGCCTTGCTGGGAATTAGAGACATAGAAATTATTTGAGGAGAGCCCTTCTCTTGTGACAGAGACTGAAGAGTATAGACAGTCTTGTGAGGGAGACTGACAAGTATATAGGCAGGACTCTGGATTCAGTGCTGAAATGAGAGAACAAAAGAGGTTGTAGGACCATAGTGGTGAGGACCTAAACTTGCATGGCAAAGGTGAGGCCAAGTACGTCAGAGAAGGCTTCCCAATAGAGATAATAGCTGAACTGCACAATGAAGAATGCATAGGAATTTGACAGATGAACAATGGAGAATATAGGAATAGCATATGCTAAGTATGACATCTCCGTAAAGAACTATGAGTGGCTTAGATTGGCTAGAGAGATGTGCATGGAGGGATAGAGAAGTGATAGGAGATTAGAATGAGGAGATAATCTGAGACCCAGTCATGACAAACTATAAGCGACCTGCTAAAATATTTCATACTATGTCCTAAAAGATATGAAAAAATGGTGAAGAAGGAGAACGCCATGTCCAGATGTGAATGTTAGAAATAGCCTTTGGCTACCAATATAGCAAAGAAAAAAACATCAGAAAAACAAAAAACTGTAGACAGAATAATTAGTCACAAAACTATAGTGAGCACAGGTGAGAAAGAATGGATATTTAGAAGATAAGAGTAGAGATTTGGTGCCTGCTGAGAGATGAAGAGATTATAGAAAGATAAACATCTAGAATGACTCCCAGATTCTGTTTAGGCTCAGATGATGGCTTGGATGATAGTGCCATTCTCTCAGATGAAAATGTAGAAAGAGAAGGTGAGTATTGTGGGATTAAGAGAAGCCAGCCCTTCATAAATCCAAAAACAACATGACATATTCTCCCAGTAAGCACTAGATACATCAAGTAATTATGATCCCTGGTTAACATCTCTAGTTGTTCTCCATTTTCACATCACGATTTCCAGTTCTTTTACAAATATTCTTCTTAAACAGTGTGTGCTTTGTGACTTAATGTAATGTAACAGACCTTATTTGTCCAAGCAGAGATTAGAAATGAAGAGTTGTACAGTCCAGCTTCTCTTCAATTGACTGATTTTGTAAACTTGGGTCACACCCTTTCTCCAAGTTTTACTTTCCTCACCTTTGTAATGAGGAATGTTTTACCCAATGGTGACTAAGGGCCCTTCTTAAGGACATGGTCAGGATATCTGTCTCCCACTCTCCCTTTTGGTTTCTCTGTTCTTTTTTCTTGCTCTTAGCAAGTGAAACTTGGCAGCCCTGATTACATAGACTGTGACCGGGAAAAGGTTCTGGAAGACTTTCTAAAGAGAATTCAGTGCTACGAGGTCAACTACCAGCCTTTGGATGAGGAACTGGATAGGTAAGATCCCAGTATCCCAAAATCCTTAGACCAGTTTTGATGTCCCATAGGACCTGGGGAAATGTTCTCTCTCTATGGGCCTCAACTATCCTATCTGTAACATTGGAGAACTGGACATCATGATCTTTCTTTAAGGTCTCCCCCCACCCAGATCTAATTATTCATGAGACAATGATTCCTGATGTGTAAGATGTTCATGAGATGACTTAAATGGTGCTTTCTTGACCAATATGTTGAGATCAGGACACTGATCTTTGGGAGTAATTTTCTCCCTTCTGTGGGTGCTGCTATTATTATTGCAAAAGTATTCTTCACACATGGATGACACTTCAGTTTCAAAACATGTTCACCTTCATTCTTTCATTGAATCCCCACAGAACCCTTGTAAAGTAGACCAAGATAGGTCTTCCTCATAAATTTTTAAGAAAAGGAAATTGAGTCTCAGAGAGTAGAAATTACCTTCCAAAGTTCCCACAACATGTTATAGAGTTATGATTCTAACTACATATTCTGTTTGCTAGTCATGTCTCTTTTTACAATACTCATGTACCTCCTCAATCAACAAGTATTTGGTCTCTTGCAGCAGTAGTATATAGAGGGAATGTAAATAGGAGCAAGAGGAGTGGGTTCTATCTTCAGGTAATTTCCATAGTGTCTTAACATATAGAAAGATCCATGAAAAACAAAACATTTTCTGTCATAATACCAGATAAAGATAGGAAAGGTATTAGCTGGCAGTATAGGGAAGATGTAAAATTTAGGTGTAGGGTGCTTCCAGAA